CCAAAAATTGGTCATGTTGTTCTGTTCTCCATTTGGTCAGTTATTGTTTCAGATTGGGTTGGTTTCAGTAACTTGTATGTCCAGTCGGTGAGATCAGTCCGAGTGGTTACAGGTATTTCGGATTAATGCCGCGGCCTTTGGAGCCTCAGTTACTGGCACTGGATGATGACATTTGAGTTTAAATCACACAGCGCGTGCAAAAGGTAAATCGCTCTGTAGATGAACATTTTCCTTTCAGAGATGAATGTCTGCTCTCTGAATGAAATGGTGCTCATCGAATTGATTAATTTTGCCTCTGAGATTTGCTGCCGGTTCCACTTTAAAACTATGAATGAAATGTTTATAAAAGTTTCATGGTCGAAAAAGGTATTTCAGAACCAAATGATGAATGTAGTTCTATAAACATGCAGTTAGGATTTACAGCTGAATTGCTGCGTAATTACCATCCAACTGGTGAAGGTGACATCACCGCGTCAGCTGTTTTCCTTGGATTTTATATTAACCTATTTCAAAGCTGACAGTAAAAATGCCCCCTCAACACACAAAATAGAAACATCACTGTTCATCCTCGGTGAGCGACTCCACAGGCCCTCATGTGGTCGTGCCCACCACTAGTCTGAGATTCTGTCTGCAGCTGCCCACCATTCAGCTTTCATCAACTGGGTGGCAAACACGGATGAAGTCATGGCAATTCAGCATCTGCAGGAACAAGAGCCCTCCATTTGTCATTTTCTTTATTATCAGATGAGTGAATAGCTTTAGCGAAGGCATCATACTTGTGGATGAAACCCCAAACTAATAAGCCCCACAGAAAATCAGATATCTAGTTATGACCCTTAAGACTGATGAGGTGAATTTGTGGCTTTCAAACTAGAAAAGCGTGAGGCAGTTAATGCTGCAGAGTGACAACCTCTTAAACGGGAAGTTTTAAAAGGTAATCGCACATAAAAGATGTTATTGGACTGTGTGACAATGTGCAGGTCAGAAACGTCCTACAGTCGTGTGCGCGACGCGTCCAGAGAGACGAAACCCACAGAAAAACACAGGCTTTTATTTTGTAATACTCATTTATTGTTCCATAAAAATAGATTTTAAAAAAGTGACGTGATGTCTCCTTCATGACTTTGCCTGATGGATCTGCCAACAGCTCCTTGTAAACACAAGGCTTTATTTTTATTTTTTCTGACTGGAAGGGGAATTTAAAACTCCTTCTTCCCATTCAACACAATCCAAAGAGCTTGTAACTTCACTGATCTTTGACCCCGCTAACAGTGACAGCCCATCTTTCACTTACTTTCACATTTAGGGCAGATACAGTACATTCGTCCCACTACCTTGTCTATTTACACGGCGCAGCTTGTGTCTGAATGATTTGTTTTTGCTGATGACCCTCATAAAAGCTGCATTAAACAGTTAATTAAGAGGACATCTAGGCGCGAACACACAAGCTCAAGCCATCAGTTAAACTTATTACAACTTAATATAACATATTAAGACATCTTTGTACAGTAATTACACGTAAACACATCTGTGAGGGTTTGAGAAGAGTTAACTCTGTAAACACTGAGACACCTCCGTTAGCTTCCCCTGTGACAGGTTCAACTTCCTGTGAGCCTGGAATGCTACAATAACTGAGGCAAGGTCCTCCGACTTCACTCATCAAACTCTTCTTTGGGACCTTTTTGGGTGCTACATTTGATTTTCCGTGGTAAATGTTACTGAGCCCCAGCAGAGAAAAAGTTATTAAGAGATGAAAAATAGAGTTTCTGTTGACATGAAGTGGTAAATAAAGGAAAAGCTCATTTACAAATTTCAGAAGGCTTTGGACGTGAACTAATCAGACAAAAGATGAAAATGTTGTATCGAGTCATATTTGTAATAACATCTTAAAACTCCCAAAATAACTGTTTGAATATGGAACTTGAAAGAGAATAAAATTAGCTGAGGAATAAGACTATGCCAAAGGCAATATTACAACTTGTACATATGTTTTGCTATAATCCATACTTTGAATTTACCGATTCCTCGTCGTACCATATTGCCATGCTTTGTGGTACATTTGGAGGGCCTTAGTCTAGAAATCTTCAGTTTCAATACAAGAAATGGAGAACTAAAGAGATGATTTCCACCAATTGGCAGACGATATCCATTGGAAGAACTTTATCTCAAGAATTTTGGTTTCAGTTGTTGGGGAAGAGATTAAGCAAAGAGTGTGGGCTGTGGAGATGTGATGATCAAACAGAGAGGAAGCAGTGGTCACAGAACGGAATACACATATAATTGCAGTATCAATAAGCAAATGCTCAAAATCTAATTAATCTGTATTTTTTTCATATCGAATCTCATTTCAATAAAAAATGTATTTGATATAATTCACATCATAAAACAATTTCTCCTAGTATACAGCGAAGTCTGTAGTCCTTAAGTACAAAACCAATCTACCATAACACAACACAATAGGAAGGTGCCAAGTTGCAACCAAAGGGCACTTCCTGTTGCCTCTTAGCTGGGTAAACCATTGTGAATGCAGGGTTTTTGACAAGTAAGCACCATGCTTCTGAAACTAGACCAGAACCAGAAGAGGCTCTGTGTGAAAGAGCTCCTCTCTGCCAGTCAAGGATGGTAGGATGTGATGTAGAGAGGAGTGACTGCAGCAGGGAGGACACAGCCTGAACCTGCAGGACAGTGATGGAGTCCCTTCATTGATGAAGTTTCTTCCACAGAGTTTCTTGATGTGTCATTACATTCTTTCAATGAAAGCTTAAGTGCTTGAAAAAGGCTGAGAAGTTGCGTAGCAACAGTGTAGCTATAGAAGAGAATAAACTGTTTGAAAGAAAGTAAAAACAGACAGAAGTTTGTGTGTGGAATGCAAACAAAAACTAAGACAAGCGAATGAGAAATCTGAAAGCTGGGAGCACAACCTCTAAGCTATCAGCAATAATCTAGTCAAGCAAGACAATACCAATGGTTTGAAACGGTTTACCCCTCGGTCTCCTAAGTGGACGTACTTTACGGGTTTCGGATGGACAAAAGTAAATTTGGATGGGCTTTCAGGATTTTATCAATCGAACAGTTTAATGTTTCTAAAGTTTTTGTTACCAGGTCTAATGAGACCCAGTAGGTTTAAAGTCTATACCCTCCTTAATTGTTGGTTGGTAAATTAGTCTGGTTTCAAATAATCAATCACAAACTGTTTTTCGTTCTCCACTCTTGTTGGACTTAAAAAGAGTCAGGACAAAGCATGTGACACGGTGACTACTCTCTGCCAGCAGCTGCACAGAAGAACCAAAGGGAATGGTTCTCTTAATTTAAGTTTCTGGACAAATAATGTGCTCTCAACATCAGGGAATTTTATCCTCTCTCAAATAATTCTTCTTCTGTGTAATTACACTGACACATTTCCCAATAGATGAGCCATATTTACCATGTTTACTACCTCAATGAGCAATGGAGCAGGAGCTGTTCAGAGAGCTGGGATATCTGTGAGTGGCTTGGAAAATGCAGTTCTGAGCATTTGGAAGTGTTACTGGGTGTTTGCCCCATTTAAATTAGCCTTATTCACATCATGGAAAACAGCTCAGAATAATTCCAAAAGTGAAAGATGTGGTCAACATAAATCAGAGGGTTGATAATACTGTAGGGCCCAGTAGATTTGGCTTTCAAAATCTTCACTAGAAACAATGTGCGCAATAATATTAATGAAGGCTCCATAACCAAGCTTTATCATTCATCCCCTTACTTATATTCAGCGGTCAAGTATAAAGTTATTACATTTTTTTACTGTCCTCACTCCTATTGCCCACTAACGCCTTTGTCTGCTCTGTCACATGAGCCTCACCTTGTATGTTGGAACCACTGTGCCACTGATCTAAATGTACATTTTACCTTCTTTGGACTCTTCAAAAGCCCTTTCATATGACTTATTTTTAGACCTTTTGAGATGTGTATTTAAGCGTGATTTGCGTAGAAATACCAGGAATCTCTTCCCCCCGTTAGGATCCAGTTGGGAAGCCCTGCATTCGCCTGAAGGCCACAATCTTTTGAAGCATGTTGGGAGTATTACTCAACAAAGCACGAGAAAACACTGAACCGGGTTCACTTTCAGCACAGCATGACTACAGTACTTTAAATGTACTCACCACAATTCTGGAAGGTGTGCATGCTTTCCCCATCAATAAAAAATAAATAAAAATAAAGTATTGCTTAACCTTTTTGTATTTTTAAAACCCAAATTAAATGATCTTGTTTCTTCACAATATATTTTGTCCGCTACACTATAAGTAAGTCTAATATACAGAGGCCTCTTTCCTGCACAGGAGCACCAGAGAGCTATCGCCAATGCTCTCTATTCCCTGCTTGGCTGCTTGGTACCAGATAGTAGTAGTGGCCAACAGCAGTTGAGTGACAGACCTAAGGGCTGAATCGTCAGTTTGATTGCATCCCCAAATGGGGACACCAGCTGCCTCTGATCTTATCCGCTTACTTCCTTTCTTCTGGACAAGGTCCAGAGCCCACATTCTGGGAACATCGGCTGAACGGCTGCAGCCAACGGCTCTTTGGGAATGACACCATAGGGGAGCTCATAAGAAAGCCCTTTCTATGTCTGACTGAGGAAGATGATGCTGCCGCCCATGGCATTTTGGCGGCCGACGAAACTCAATGCGCGTCATCAAAATTTAAATTAAAGAGGAGCTCCATTAACTATGCTCAGCGTCACAATCTCTTGCTCAATGTTTTCTGACAGAACAAAAAACTGTTTTCTCTTTGTTCCATTTTCTTATTGTTCATTTGGTGTCCATATGATGGGCTGACATTGATTTGCCTGATACATTTCGTGGAAACATATTCTTTGAGTACTTCAGATAAAAAGAATGCTGCAGGAGAAAAGACAACACGTAGCTGAAGTTGGGGATGGGATCACCACAGTGACAAAAAATTTGGGCTCCTTGATTTCAGTAAATGCTCATCAATAGAGTTTGCCCTTATCACTTGGGGAAGCGTCACACTGTGGTGGCCCGGCTGTGTTGGAGAGCCAGCGGAGAATACTCCTTGATGCGAACACAAAGTTTTCCCCTCAGCCAAGGGTTTTGGAGCTCCAGGGGACAGAAGTCATCCTGGAGCCACTTTTCTCTGTTGTCCACCACCAACACAAGGCCAAAGTGCTTCATCTGCTCAGAACTGTAGTAAACACACTGCTCCTGTTCATCGCCGCCACCCAGCATGCGCCGGCACACGATGTTCATCTCCTGCACCACCAGCTGGACCATCTCTCCAGCTGTCGTACCGCGAGTCACGCAGAGCTGAAACGGCAGAAAAAAGAAGAAGAGCACATTTAGCACTTGCTAGCATGGACACAGCGGAGGTGTACACATTTTAGCACCCGTCACGTGCATCAGTACCTTGACGCTGGTCTCCTTGGGCAGGCCTGTGCGGTACTGGGGGTAAACTGTGAGAGTGGCATGGCAGCCTTTTCTGAACATAGTGGGCGATGGGGAGGAGAGTCTCTGCGTGCCGCTGTCCTCTGATAAAGTACGTGCCGGTGGAAGCTGTGGCAGGCAGTGCTCCCCGGAACAGCAGCGTTCCACTGAAGAGGGCCTGTGCCACCGTCGCTGTGGTGAAGTGGAGGGGGACGAGCGAGTGGTGTGGTAGGAGTTTGGCTGCTGCGGGGAGGATTTGGTGGAGGGGAACTCCAGACTGCTGGTTCTTACACAGAAGGCTTGTCTCTTCTCCGTGATGTGCAGCAGCTCGATCTGCCTGCTGGGCAGAATGAAGTCGCTGTCGAACAGCTCCGGGGGCCCCCTGCGCCTCTCTCCCGCACATCGGACCCCTCCTCCACACCGATCGCCCTCCTTCCCAAGCTGGGCCTCGGAGGCCTGGAGGACGTCTGGTGTGGAATCTCGCAGCGCTCCCCCTCCCCGGCCACCCCCGCCAAGACACACGCGTCCCCCCGAGCTGCTCCCGTCGCTACGCAGGAAACCGCGGGGCTCCAGGGGTGCAGAGGAAGAGAGAGGCGAGGGCGGCAACAGGTCCAGCTCACGGGGACTCTGGGCACGGCTAGAGTCATAGTCACTGTCAGTGGTGAGGAAGACTTCAGATGAACCCTCTTCATCTGATAGACCGGGATAATCTAATAGACGGGATAAAAAGGGGGGAGTTTTAGTTTTCGACTGAATGACGGTCTGCATTTGTCACAGTCTCTGAATGACCACAGGTGTTTCTGACCTGAATGTTTGCGGCAGGGTTCTGGTGAAGGCATGGGAGAAGGCATGAAGTCTGGCTGAGATGACGTGGAGGGAGGCTTGTCTGGCATCACTTCCTTTGAAAAGTCGATTATCCAGCTTATGGAGATGCCTCCTGTTGGCTGCTTGTATCGGGCATACTGCAAGCAATCCATGATCCACCTTGCATCCCTCCAGACCTCCTCCATTTGCTGTTTTATGGACATTAAAAGTCAGCTTCAACATGTAAATGCAGTGATAATTTTATATACCTCCACGTAGAGGCTGCTGTGGTGAAAGATCCAGATTCCAGCTGCATCATTTCCCGATACATGCTGACTAAGTACTGCCTGTGGTCATACCTGCATATAATCCTGGACCTGTTGGTGTTTCTTCTTTGCGACAAGGAGCTCTGCCTCAGAAAAGGCCTCTCGCAGTGCCTGCTGGGACATGAGGGATTCCAGCTCCAGCAGAGCAGACACTCTACAGTACTGGCCGATGAAACTGGGGCAGTAAGCACTGAAGTGGACTGTGGAGAAGAAGGAATCCTGTTAGTCAAAAAACACATAAACTGTCTCCAGAAAGTCTGTACACAAAGAGTGTGTGATCGTATATCTGCTTCAAATCTGAGATAGACCGACCCAGTTCAAAGATCTGCAAAGGCAACGTGAGGAAGCCAGAGCGGGGGGAGTAGGGATTATTCTGCCCCGGTGCTGTGCAAACTTCATCTGAAGGCGGCAAAAGAAGCAGAAAGGACACTTTCTCCCCAAACTCCAACACCTCCTGGCTGTAGATCCGAAAATCCTGCACCTAAAAAAAAGACAATATGTAGCCTTTTCCTCAAAAAGATTAATTCATCAGACAGTAGAACAGTTCACTCCTTCAGCTTTGTCCATTTTTTCGAATGGGAGAGGTGGTGGCACTTAAGGATCTCATGCCTGACATTTATTCATGTGCCTCTTTGTCTTCCATTTCTCAAACCACCAGCCAGAGGGGTTCCTCAGCCCTTGCAGGAACTTGCATTACAGAATCATGTGGGTTTAATGGCATGCTGTCAGAGGTTCCAACAATCCCCATCATTCAGAGATGAATAATAGAAGCTGTTTTGCATAACTACGAAGAACAATCGTCTAGCATAATGTTACATTTGTTGTTTTCTGTTTGTCTGTACATAGAGACACCAATAGGACTCCATTCTTTTTAATCGACAGGTTGGACCAATGGGAGTGTGTTCCATCAGTACACATATTCATCACACTAACAACCTCAAAGTTCCATGCAGCAGTGAGAGTCAGTGCTGTGCTTGGATCCCTCTGGTAAAACATTAGGTGGTTGAATTCAAACTGACAGCTGTTGCATTTTCTTTTTTCTTTTTTAGTCCAAACCTTTTTCTTTTAGAGACAACTATTCATTTAGTGAGTGGCATTTGTGGTCGAGCACAACTATGTCAATATCCTTAGGAATCGATTTACAAGCTAAATTTTGTTATTGGAAGAAACTTATTTTTTTTCACAAAATGTGGTTTCACTCGACATCGACACAAATCAAGATTGCTGTTGCTGGAAGTTTGCGGCTGGGCTCACTCTCACCTGATTGCCAGGGACATTGATGTGTGCCATCAGGTCTTTAATGGCAGTGCGCAGGTCATGTAGGAGGCGATGGGGAGCACTCTGAATATCATGGTCCATTTCCATAGCCTCCTCTAGAGAGCTTAGAGCCTGCAGCCACTGCCACTCCTCTCTATAACATCGCAGATAGAATGTTTCAGAATAATTTCCTCCCATTTTTTGTGTTATATCCACTTCTTAATCTTCTAAAAGAATTGATCAATTACGCTTAATGAATCAAACCGATACAGCAGATTAATTTCAGTACACAGCAGCATTTCTAAGGTACACAGTCACACATTTCCCACCTGGAGACGTTACCGTTGTCCCGAATTTTGGTGTGACAGAGGATGTTGGGGAGCTTCTGAGGTACCAGGGCCCTTATTTGTTCCACTGATGTACACAGCTTCAGATATCCAAGGTATAAGCCAGGAGGCAGAAGCTTCCTGCTACGCCTGTGATATGCCAGCTTTTCCTGAGAACAGATGGAAAGAGATGTGAGAAGATGGTATTTTTGTGTTTACCAGGCTTGATTGTGTGGCAAACAGAGTTTTGCCCCCCTTATGTATCTTTACGCACAGTTTAATTGTTTTGTTTTCATGGTTTACTTTTCAGTTAGTGCTTGAGGCTCTTCAGTTTAAAGTTGTTTCAACATGTTTCAAGTGGAAGTCAGCGGTAAAAAAAAGCCCATCAGCACATTTTTATGTATTTCATAATACAATTTGTTCATAGCTGACCACAAACAAATATTTCAGTGAACTGTGGTTTTGACAAAAAAAAAAAACGGCTCCATTATTGTTTTGGAACCACAAGGCCAAACCGTTGCACACTGGAGACAAAACAGTACTGCAAGAATCGTATCAGATTTACTGGGCTATATAGACAAAATCAACCCGTGGTTTCGTGTCACATTGTGGATTCACATTTTTGTGTTAAGCAAAATGGTCACACAGCACGTTATATAACACCTAAATGAGAACAGTTACACTATAAGATGTTTATTATCATCGCACGAACATGCTAAAGTTAAAATATTCAGACGGATGTTTTAAGTGCCTCTGACACAACTAAAACTCATACTGAGTTGTAGGGACCCAATAATGCACTTGGAAACGATAAGGTTTATTTAGTTTGAGTGGAAAATCTTTTAAGAAGTGTCCTCACAAATAAGATGAGGAGTAAAAGAGTCAAGTCACAAAGATTAACAGTTATCTGAGGAATGAGTTCCTGTACAAGCAGCACACGTAATTGGAAGCACATTTCCATCTACATTTCATTGTTTGTTGTGTCATGTTTGATTTCTCTGAATGAGAGTTTTCAAACCAAGCCACCAATCCAAACGAATAAATGTCCATTTTGGTGTTGACAATGTCTCCTATATTTCATCATTTAGTCTTGCCAAATATCTGTGGAAAAACAAAAGTTCATTCTTTGCATTTTTTGTTACCCAGTCTCTAAACCAAAAACAAAAATGAACTGTTTAAAATCATGGCCCCTGTGTTGCTGTAGAACTCACGTGGAGTGTGATTAGAAGCATATCTAAGGCAGTGGGCTCCTCGGGAGATGAGACAGACTTGCGTTGGAGCTGTAGTTTACAAAGCTGCGTCCAGCGGACCCCATCCAGGTTGGGACAGGCGTTCATGTCTTTTAGCAGCACGAGCAAGGCATTACCATGCTTGTCTTTAATTGGCTCAAAATACACCTGGCCAAGGTCCTGGGTTCCCAGCATTCCCTGATTTAAAAAGAAGACATTAGAAAACAAGCTCAGAAATACTGTACTGAGCAGAATTTTACAGACAGAGATAGTGAGGTTATAGTTTGCATCGCACTACCTGTAGCTGGGAGACAGCCTGCAACAACTTGAGGCGGGTCTGCAGGGTGCAGGAGCAGGATGACTGGGAGGGACTGAGACACTGCTGGAGCCAGGAAATCTCTTCCCATAGGAACGACACCTGTTGCAGGGATGACAATGACACATCACAAACAGTAAAAATGGGTTGAATGCAAAAGTAGACAACTGGTCATGTCTCTTCTTCAGTCCTGAGATACTATAAGGTTTTGAGACATAAAACTTTTCATAAAATACACACATTTAATATTAACATAAAATTAACTGTGGAAGAATATCCGGAAAATGTTCTTCTTTATTTTTTCTTTCTATTTTACATAAATTTGGTGCTTGGTTACCTTTGTGAACCAGAGAAAGTCCTGCATGAGTGAGCTGGAGTAAGAGTCCTCAACCTCAACAATGGGAATCTGGTCTTCTGGGGTCACCAACACGTTGTCATCCCTGTAGAATATGGACGTCAGATACAGCCCTCTGGGGAGAAACGCAGAAGCACTTGTTGCATTGATCAGAGCACTGAACAGTCATGTATAACAATGAAAATACAATTAAAAAGTGCAGAGAAAAAAGTGGTGCTGTTATAACAACAATAATAACATATCACTACATATATAAGATCAATTAAAGAACATGAATTCAATTTCAAACCCAAACCCTGAAGTTATTAGGTGTAATAATCACAGTTTTAAAAGAAGCTTAAAAAAAATAAAGGTTTACATACCTTTTCAAGCTTTTGACAAATTTACTGTTGGTTTGGAAGAGGTGACGCAGGCTTTTGGACACCGAGTGCTTCCTGCCTTGCGTTGGAGCTTTGCACGGCTCTGTGTGAAAAGAGAAATAACTATGTTACCTCCATAGCAAAAACAGACTTAATTATTCGAGTAATTAAAACCAATGCTCTTGATGCTCAAAGATTGGAGTCCTACGAACTTTTGCGGCATTACTTTGATCGGCTGTCCAATTTTCTTGCTAAACCAGTAGATATTTCTGTCCTGACCAACTCCTGAAATACCTCACCTTGTGACGAGCTGTAATCCAACTGACAACACACCTGACAGGTCCAAGAACATGGCTGAATGTTTTTTGACATTTTGTACTCTCCAGTGGTGCTGCACCATTTGACAGTTATGCTGACTGCCAACAGCAGACTATTGGCCAAGAGGGAACCACTAGCCCTCGAGTCTCAGGGGAGCACTAACTGTGTGTACATGTATGTGTATATGTTTACCTGCACATACTATAGCTGCTGGAACACAGCATGGCCTGAGCTATGGCTCTGTGCATGGAGCCAAGGAGCTGTAGTAATTTGTGTGTATATGTCTGTATGTGTCTTAACCCTTTGCCGCTTACTGACAGGGAGGTCAGTTAGGTCTGTGGGGACATGTTTATTTTTAGTGGGCCAAGAGGGGTTGGAGGCAAAAGAGGGGGGTGCGTATATATGTATGTGTGGGTTTGTGTGGGTTCTTGTTAGTGAGATAACGCACCTCCCAGCTCATTAGAAACGCTGAGTCCCAAAACCCCTTACAAACTCCCCCCTCGTCCCAGGTGATCTTTCTCCAGCCCCAGGCCACTTAAAGTCAATAAATCCCCCCATTCAAGGCTCAAAAAGAGCTAATTTTCTCTTCAGGTGGACGAATCAAGGTGAAGCAACAAGAAAAAACAGCACCCGTCGGCCCCTCTGACCTCCCCAAATTTCTCTCCACGCACAACTCTGCCCCACTCCTCCTGGCCTCAGTCCCTGTTTGACACTGAGTAGGACAGACAAGTAGGTCCGACTGCTGGGGAGCCTGTGTTAGTCAAGGCCTCTTTCACAGTTTAATTAATAGTGTTTGGACAAGAGGGAGAAGTTGATGTGGGCCATAAGCTGGACCGAGATGGGGGCGCGTACATGGACACGTGGGAGAGTCCAGATTTGAAAGAGAGAGCGTGTGCTTGAATATTTGTGTCTGTTCCTGTACATGTTTATCTGTGTGTGAGCCTGTCCATCTTTACACGCTAGTGTGTATGTGTGGAGCGTAGACAGGACGACTGGCGGGCTGCGGGGGGTGCGAGAGGGAGGCAGCAGTAGTCAGTGTTAATTTATGCCTTCTCCAGACTCTGGCCCGGGACTTGTCTGTTACAGGAATAACAAACATGACCCCGGGACACACCACCTTGACTACCGTGCCTGAACTCTCCAGCTCAATCAGTCGCCGTCTGATGAACCAAGAGCTTCTCAATACTGACTATTATACTGCAACTCGCCCTATTGCAAACACTGGACAATGGTTAGAGGCTGTGTATGTGTGTGTGTGTGTGGACAGGCAGGCGCGTGTGAGGAAAAAAATAAGACAACCGGCTGAATGCTACATGCAGTTTGCATTTTGTGAAGGAGTCAGCGTGGACAGGTTTTGACACTTATGGGACCAGCTTACAGTCGGCAGTGTTTGGGGACATAAACAGCTTGAGTGTGAGAGACGTTGATCTGCATTTTGTCACAGAGAGAGAGGTATTCAGCTGAGGAAGGGCTGAGTCATGGAAAGACTCATACGGGAGCGGGGGGTTGCTTAGACAGAGGGGAGGTGGCATGCCATTTAAGTATATATGGCTCCTGAAGTACTTGTCATGCCTCACATTGTAAAGTGTCTGTCAAGGTGAAATGACACAGCAATTAGTGAAATGTATAGCACCTGTGAGTCCATGCTTCATTTTTTCTTCACCAGTCTCAGTGAAGCATCACTGAGAGCAAGATGAAATGTTCTGGGTGAGGGGTGCAATGAAACGGCTTCGGTTAATGTCAGAGGTTCACCCTACACGCTTAACTCACCTGATACTAGCTCTAAATCTGATCTTAAAGTTAGGGTTAGATACATTCGTAGTCATCAAGAAGTTATTTTAAACACCTACTAACCTATGCTCAAAAATAGCTCGACGAGAGCAGCGAATCACACGCAAAGTTGATAAGTTTTCATATAGGTTGCAGGTTTGGGGGAAACTCATCTAAAAGTTTATTGATACCATGGCAAACGCAGTTCCGGTGAGCTTCCTTTATCTGCCCAAGTAGCTGGTCAAGAGCCTCTTTTTGGCCTCTCTGGCGTGGAGCACGGCCATCAATGTCCCTCCAACCTGCAGTGGAAGAAAAAAAAAAATTCAGGGGAGTGAATTTGTCTCTGCCTCACAGAGTTGATTAACAAATGTACAATCATTCTTTTCACATGAACTGAGCTTAAATAAAACAAAATCCTCCACACTTATTTGGACTAATATTTTAATGAAACAAACTTATTTGGATTAATATTTTCATGACGTTTTGAGAATATAGCTGATTTCCTGTTACTTTTGTGATCCGCTGACTCCATAATTCCTGACATGTTTTTGTGAAATGCATTTCTACCTAATTGGTCTGCTTTTAGGTCTTTCATGAGATTACATCATCAAATTGAGTTGTTTTGTTTCTTTATTCAGTAACTGGACTTCAGATGGTTGCAAGCTGTATTTTTTTCCCACTAAATACCACACACACGCCCTGCTAAAGAGACTTTAGCCAGCATGCCCAGTAAGAATGAGAAAAAAGACTGCTGGGTACCAATCCCTGCAGGGGTCTGTAAGGATCGGTTTTGATGTTTTTCCATTGACAATTACAAGTACAGCATGGAAGGCTAAAGTGAGTCGGTTGGAATGAAAACACTAACTTCCACCTACTCATGTCAAAATGGACTTTGGCCACATGATCACCCGTAATAGTAACATTTGCCACACTAGGACCTCCAACTAACGCCAAGCATTTTTCCCATTGTTCTCCTCTAATCCAACTGTACAGGCAAACTTGGATCCATTGTAAACATATTGAAAACCTACTAATTTGGTATTACAAACAAAAATAAACACACATTTTGCTCTCCAGTCTTAGAGATGACTGTTTATGTAGAATACAACCCTTCAGAAAATTCTGCCTTGTGTGTAAGTAGCGGAGGATGTGTCAGCGATAACCCACCCCCTAACACCATCACTCTCACCCTCCCTGCCCCCCCTCCAGGAGTCCCCCAGAGGGTGCATGGGACTGAAACACGGTGAGCTCTATTCCCGGAAAGGTGCCTGTCCCGGCGAGACAAGCGGACCCTTTAATGGGCGTCCACAGCCCGGTATAAGGCCCCCACTGTTGGGGCCGTGCCGCGCGCTACAGCACAGACATGCAAATATTTCCAGTGGTAGGCCCAAATGGAAAACACAAACACGCAACATCGAAATTAGCTCTCAGAGAGGGAGGGAGGGAGGGTAGGCGGACAGTAGAAAAAAAAGAGAGCAAGGGGAAAGCCTAAATTCTCGAAATGAAGACACACACACACAAACACACTAACAGACCAGGGGACGCGCTGCCAAAGGACCCTATGTGCCGATGAAGACAAACATGCTCATATGTTCCCCAGATGTGCCATGAGGCTACCAATATGACCACAATACTCAGTCTTTTTTTATACCTCTCTAAGGTCATCTCTTCAATCACTGGGACTTAACCACAAACACACTCACACACACAAATAATTCCACATAATTCCGCTAGATAGATACATACATACATGCACACATGCACACATAGATACATAGTCAGATTAAGTAGGAGAAAGTGTATCAGAGCAGTAGTGTGGTCAACACCTCAGCTGTTGCAAATGACTTCACGGTTAATTTCTTGGCTGAACCCAGGCGTCTTTCTCTGCCAGCCCGGCCTCCACACCATCCTGCTATGGTTACACTCACTGACATCTGCAGAGGGATTCTCAAAGCCCACCCAGCCTCACGACTGACGAAAGTCCAGCTGCCATCCCTCTAATGATGTCAAACTACCATCAGAATGACGCTGGAGTAACCCAATCAATTGAGTGAAATGATGCAAGTAATTTTATCATCTACGCAGAGTCCATACCAAACACACAGAATTTTTGTGTGCGTATGTTTGTGCGTGTGTGTGTGGAAACTCTTTGGCAGTTATGCTCTTCAAGTGACGCCAGCCAAAACCTGGTAGAGCACATGGCTTTACCCAGTGCAAAGTCAGACCTTTGTGTGCTATTGAGACGAACGCCTTAAGATAGACAGATTTCAATACAGTGGAGACTCACTGGAAGGTGTAGCACAGGCTGGGGTGGAAACTTTAGGAGGGCCCCAGCCCTTCATGTTGTAGGCTGACACCTGCACATAATAATATGTCCCCTAGAAAGACAATGAAAAAACACAGTTAAAGGACAGCTAAACAACAATCACTAGGAAGTGTATGGATATGCACATGCATATGTATCAGTGTAGGTAACTGTGTGCGAGCTGGGTTAGGGTTAGTGTGCAGACAGCAAGCCTCTGTCTCTCTTTTCTCAGCCAAATCAATCAAAGCAGCCGCCAACACTTACTGACCCCGCCTTAACCTCTGTCTTGTGACAGCACAGAGCTCGAGTTGGGGTCCTGAAGGGGGAGAAGGGGTTTCTCTCACATAATAACAAACAAGCGGAGCGTCCATTTGTCTACAGGCCCACTTAAAAATGCCAGACATAAATCAGGTGGCAGGCTACCAAGCTGCTCTTTTTTTGATAATTTTGGAGGCTTGTCTTGCAACTGTTGTTCTGTCAAGAGCCAAGTCCATCCTAAAATAATATATAAAGTGTTTTCAATGTGTGGTTTTAACAGGGCTGTCAGAGCCATTGTTTGTGATTGATAGTTACTGTGACATGTGTGTGAGACTTATGTATGAAAAAAAGCAATACTCACAAGAGAAATGCTTCAAGCTTGTAAATAATACTGATGGCCTTTATGGAGGCTAATCTCTACATTTTTATCAGTGAGTAACAACAGCTGGAGAAGCTACAGCTTAGAGTTTTTTTGTTTCCTTTTTCGCTTCTTTTGTAGGTTTGACTTTCACACACTTCCAGATAAACGTGGCTGTCTATGTCATCTGGTTGTGGGAGGGAAATAAGACTGCTCAATCAGGTTTATGTGGACATAGGTGTATTTGTTGTGGTTTGATGTGCAGTCATGTACTGGAGTGGAAGGGGGTCGGGAGGATGAATGTGACGGTTTGTCCTAAAATGTCCTAAAAAAGGATACTTTTTTCCCTTGGTATCAACTCTTACATTTATTGCACTGAGCTGTAAAGCAGAAATCTGACACCATACTTTCTGTTTCGACACTTTCACATCTGGATTCTTCTACAACTTACTGAAGTTAGTCCAGTGATGATGCACTGTAGTAGAGATGTGTCGTCCACTAACATCTCACCCAACAAAGGACTGAATGAAGGTGAACTGCTCCAGCTCACTTCAAATACAAATAAGCACAAACAGTTACTTGATAAGAAACAGTCAAAAAAGATATTACTGAGCTTTAAAAATATGTTATTTGTCAAACACAAACTCACTATATTGTAACTTGTTTGTTTTGAAAAATGGCTGACCTTTGTACTTGGTAACCACAGCAGAGTTGACACAGAGAGGTTCCTGGAAATCAACCTGTAGACTGGTGCTGCTGCTTACAGACAGATAAACTATACTAGGAGCATCTGGAGGGTCTGTGGAGATGGGCAAACAGAAACAAGTCAGGAAGACACAATATCTAAGCGGCATTGAATTATTGTAACTGTGTGTTGTTTATGATGAGTGCAATATATCCAAAGATGTTATTCCAATATCAACATACATAAAACCAAATTATATATATATAGTGAAAGTGGAGCTCTTGTTAATATTGAGGTCTTTGTTTATAATCAGGCCATTTATTTTTCATGTTGTCGAAAGCATTTAAAATCATAGAGCAATGCACAAAGTTTTCCTAAACAAATACAGCTCCAGCCATCCACATAGTCATATGTTGGGTTTCCAAGTGTGGGAGTTAATCACTCATTCCAACTGAAAGCCATAAGGGAAAAAAGAGCCAAAGATGACAGCTAGACTGCAGAAACATCAGCTGCCAAACATGTGTACAAAATGTCAAAATCATCCAGAGGTCTTACTAGCATGCTCAAAGCCTGTCTGCATGCGTCGAAAGAGTCGCAGTCTCCACTCCCAAGCTTTCAGCTGCCTCTCACGGTCAGATCCCTCTCGTTCACTCGGACCCTCGTTCCGCACCTGTGCCTGAAGCTCTGATGCTCGCTGCTCTGCCTCCTGAACCAGCGTGGCCAAATGCACCGCTCGGCCCTCCAGACTCACAACTAGGAAGACAAGTGGGAGCTAGTCCACGAATGAACAGGTATTTGCAAAGACAAAAGTTCCATTCCCCAACGGCACATGTTCCTGGGACTTCATTATTACCAAAAAAATCACAAAAATAACTTTGACAGAAAGTTTATCATTGCATATCAAAGAGATGTCAAATTATAAGGGCTGTTTTCCAATCAAAGTTGAATGGTACTGTAATGACTTATTTTGTATATGTGTTTTTTTTTCTCTTTAATCTGTTCTCAGGAAAAAAACATATTATGTACGGTCTCACACAAGTTCAGTTTCAACAAGCGCTTCAAGCTGGCACTTCAAGAAAGCTATTGCCTGTTGTGTCACAAATTGCTTTTGCAGGCGACTCTTTTTAATTTCTTTGTCTGCCAAAATACTGCAGCAGATTTCTCAATAAACTTTGTTTAATTTAAATAAGCACCCTCTCTTTAGAAATGACATCACCCAGAAAATGACAGAAAATGGGGCAATGAAAGTGAGAGGGGGTGAGAGAGGGAGGAGAATTCCTCATATGCGGTTCGAAGGGAACACAAAGCGGTGGGAGCATGCATAGGCATCAGCTTAGATTGCAATTGTAAAACTATTTTTCTGTGAAACTTATGGAAACATTTGTATAACTGATCTATTTATACAATGCGCCACAGCCTCACATAGCCATAAGAGGAATGTTTTTTCGGAGGGACTAGGGTGTTACTACAACACTGGGAACAATGATGTGTGACACACATCACTTTCGTAAATGAGATGTAACACCCCATGAAAATATTTAAACCATGGATGTTCCGTTTGTGATAGTGACTTGTGGTTAATACACACATCAAAGATATTCAGATGCTCCCATTGCAGTTAGACATGCAGATAAATCTAAATAAATACAAAGAACATCCAACTTAAATTTTTCAGACAGAAAAAGACAGTAGCTGACTTTGCTACTTTGGTGGCTGGTCATTCCTTAGAGTGTTTGGGACTGGTGTGTGTCTGTGTTTAGTCTGTGTGGTCTGTGTTTGTTCATTGTAGATTCCACTGTTGAGCGTTAGATTCCACTGTTGACAGTAAGTTTAAAGCTCCGTGTCAAAATGTCCATCTGGGTGTTTAATTCTGCGGCTCTCTCTGTGTCTCCTCAGTGGCTGCGAGCTTCTCTTTGAATCTGTGTGTCTCTACTGGGTGTCACTTTTGTTGTTCCCTTTGGCCACTTGCGTAAAGACTTAAAGGAAGTTTGTCACTTTATAAGAAGCAGCATGGGGGTCATGAAAAGTCAGGGTTTAGTTTAGCAATCTCACCATACATTGGGATAATGAACAGATGGGAAGAGTTCAAATTAATGAACTCGTGTTAAAGAAAAAAGAGAAAGGCTTTGACTTTCCTCATGTGCAGCTCTTTGTTTTTTCCTGTTTTTGTAATCTTCAAGACTGTAACGCTTACACACTTTTCACAGAGTATTTGGGCTCTGGCTAGAAATCACAATAAAAAGACAAACTTCAGTAAACACCACTTTCCATTGAGTGTTTTCTATTTAATGATACCTTTATAAGATGTCTGGTACTGCTCTTGAGAATAAGTGTGTGTGCGTGTATACAAGTACAAACACAAACAGCCTGGGAGCCTTACTGGCGAGTTCTAATCATTAGCAGAGGAAGGGAGTTGAGGCTCCAAGATCACAGAAAATGAAAAGTGCTTATGAGGATGACTAATATTGAATCATGATTACCACCCCTTCAATGCCTTTAATATCTCTTCACTGGGAGCTGTAAACATCAAGAGATGTGTTTGTCTGTTGAAACAATAGGGATAAATTAATTATTAGTGTGACTGATGGATGCGTGCCACATTGGGAAACACCTGCATTTGTTTTGCTGGTGGCCATTATAAGCTGACTTGCAGGTTTAGTAAGTAGGTCTTTAAACCCAAATGCAGTCTACTGATGAAAGAGGAACGATTTCTAATGACTCATTTTTAACCTTCCCACCAAGCTGGATTTGTGGAGGTAAAGGTATGATTTACAGACATACATCACATATTGCGACGTAATTAAAGTAACCTGATACTTCCCAGGTGAAAGTAAGCCAAGCCAATATCTTATGATATACACTAAATGTGATGAGTGTGTGAGTGAAATTAGTGTAAGCGTACATGGTTGTTAAATTTCTGGGTTGACCCTTCAGTGAACTGGTGAATTGTAAAGGCTATATCCCACTTCTAGTCCTACAATGTCCTACACATCCTACAACCTAAAAAGGTCTCCCCAAAGGACTGACTGTTTGCAGGGAACTGCAAAAAAACCCAAGATCAATGTCTAGGACTTTAGCATCTTATATGTTAAGGTTTAAGACTGAACAACCGTGGCTTATTTGGAAGGGGTTACACGAGAAACAGGAAGGCGCAGTTTGGATTATCAAGTTACTGGTATGAGTTTGGTCTTGTTTTACTCTGAAATATAACTCTTATATTTGAATGTGGCTGATAATTGAGGAATGACAAGCATGTTCATTGCAAAGCGTCCGCTGCAAACATTTGACAGAGCTTCTCGACTCACAATGTGGGCTCTCTTTGGCACCAGCTCGCAGCAGAAGCTTGGCCATGGGCACGTTATTGGTCATGATGGCGATGTCGAGAGGCAGGAGGCCTTCGCTGTTTGGAGTGTTGAGGTCTAGCTCCTCCAGACTGTACTGGGAAAGAAGCAGCTGGACCAAGTCCAACTCTTGGTGCTCCACTGCCTCAAACAAAGCTTCATTGCTCTGGAACTGAGATGCAGGGAAAGATCACACAGAGTTAAAAATGAACACCACTCAACAGGGAAGGCTGATATTTTTGAGGCATTTCAGCCTGGCATCCACTGTAGTGAGTGCTGGAAACATGAGTAAGTTGCTCCCTGGCTCTGCACACACTCGCAAAGTTTAGCTCTTGTGCTTTTGTTATGCTTTGGTGTAGTTATATAGGTGACTGTGTGTTTTCACTATGTCAGGCTCTCTGACCAGATCTCCAGTATGTGTTCTCTCTGACTATCTTTAGACTACAATGTTCCTGGGCTTATTATTTTTTCCTTCTCTTTCTCTCTCTGACTTACGATGGTGGTTTTACGCAGCCTCTCCTTGTCTCCTCCCCGTCCTGACACCACACTGTCCTCCAGAACAGGGGGGTTGGTGCCTACACGGAACTTTCCAGACAAATTGCGGTACAGGCGGCGGGCGGCGCTCGGCGAGGACAGGCTTGCTGACTTTCGAGTTGAAGTTGGCTGGTGGGCCTGGTCCACTCTCATTGGCTGTGTCATCTTGGCGGAGTCAGCCCTAAAGGACAGATTGGTTAGAAACAGTAGTGATGGATGGCAGAAAGAATGGGACTCTGTGTATTTTGGTGAGAAATAAAGGGGGCTAGACATCCCAGTCACTTATACGACATAGTCAAGAAAAAAATCCAATCCTGTAGCTTTTTAGGCTTACATAAGCCGGCCGGCTGGCTGGCTGAACTTTTGGGTCCAAAAAAGGGGTCTCAGGTACACTTGTTCCAAAGCATTTTTCATCATCATTTTTCTATAATGAACATAAAAATGAGCCACTGATTTCTGGTTTTAGTGGTAAATTACACCTATCTTAGAAGGCCACCATCATCTTTAATTTTTAGTTATCATATGAGCCGTCCTGAACTAGAAATGATGGCCTTGTCACCAGTTTGCCAGCATTACTCCTCAGCATCATCCCTTTCTCTTAAAAGCCGACTGTCGTTTACCACCGGTTTCTTGGCATCACTGGTATGCTGATTATATTGCACTTCTCAGTTTTGCTATGGGAACTATGTAGATGACATGCATTTCAAGGGGGAGCCTGGTCCATGGTGCTCACACACATTGAGCTGCTGAAGGAAGTGTCAGCAGGACTCTGCAGGCGAGGGTGACGGACTCCGTGTCAGGTCTCACCAAAGAGAAGCGAAGAGATAAATGAATTCCTCAAAGAGCCTTTTTCAACAGCTCGCCTCCCTCCTGTTTGTCCCACCTTCCCGATATCTTTCTGACTTGTTTTTCCTCTAATCTTCAACCCTCTGTGATCGCCCCTCCATCTACTCTCTTCTAGTCTTATCCTTTATCTTCTCTTAGCCACTTATTTCTTCGTTCTTTTCCTCCTCCGATTTCCTTAATCATTAATGCATCTGAACATAATCAAAGAATGATTTAAGTCTTGGATGATCATTTCAATTTTGATACCATGTTTGATTTGAAAGGCACTGTAATATTTTCCCCCTGAGCAGTGACTAACGTAGTTGTTGGAGCAAAGTACACAGATGGTACAGAGTACAGAGAGGGATGGATGGTTTTATCCCGAGCAGGGAGATGCGGAGTTGAGTAAATAAAGGCATTAGTTTGGGTCATAATGCTTTGTGCCAAAAGCAGATTTGTCAAGGTGAGAGCATCTGTAGGAAAAATGTTATTTATACTCCCGTTCTGCAGTGGACGTGTAAGCCTACAGGAGCACGCATACGCGCTCAAACCCTCCCCAATCACATGCAGTTAGAGCAACAGCTGACGGCAGCCCACATTGTAGAATTTAAATCAGCCCCCGCAACAAGGCCTTTTTCACAGTGCCGATACACCTAAAATACCCTCGATCCCCATCCCTTCCCGTCCCATCCATCTCCACTCCATCCCGTAATAGAGGCCTTATTTTAGATATCCTCGTGTTCCCGGCTGGGCCTAACCTATTCCAGGGTTCCAGATAAAGCGCGGCAGGTATTTGGAATAATTTTTCCATGGGCCTGGCCCGGAAGATAAAACAAGAGATATATTTGTAATGCGTGTGCTGGTATCCCATTTCAAAGAGAAAGCCCATTGGAATGTGGCCCCAGGCTTATTGTTATTTGCCTGAGATGGAACAGACGACGCTTTTTTTCTGTCGGCAGGACGGTGCCCCATCACTCTCTGACGACATTAGGCTCTCTGTATTATGGTGTGTGTGTCTACGTGTTCTTTCAAAGAGATGCTGTATCCCACACGTGAGACTGAGGCATGCTCCCTGTCATCCAAGAAAAAGAAAGACCTGAAATGTGAAAGATAATAAATGTGAATCTGAAGAAAATCTAAACTGAAACAGGCGACATAACTAGCTCTTAATGAGAAAATATCTTCGTTCTTTCTTTATTTCTGTGTGTACTCTATGGTGATCACAGTGAACACACAAAATGCTTCAAAGATGGTTGGGCTGAAACGTCCTTTCTTACAATCTGAGATGATGCATAAAACATTAAAATTCACTAAAGCTATGGTTTACAAATATACTTAATTAAAACTGAGAGGTAAAAGTGTTTGAATATAATGCTCATGTTTTTCTCTGTTTAGGAAGTGAAAAGTAAGATACGCTTGAAACTTGACTGAGGCACTGTCATTGAAAACACACAAGGAGCCAGAGATGTAAAACTCAAACTGATACAAAAAACCCAACACAATTTTGGCCCACAGGAACTCGCACACAAAGTCTGCACAAAATTTCCTACAATTTTACCAGTGTTTTGAAGCAGGAAGTAGCATTTCTGGGAAACCAAAAGCCTCTACCAGGAGCCAGGCTCCATCCTTGGCCCCTTGATCGGTCCCACATCAAATACTCCCACAAACAATCAACACGCCTCAAGATGCAAATACACGGCATCTGCTCTACTAGTTTTATCAGCTTAAAAAAAAAAAAAAAAAAAAACTGGGCCTCAAGTCCGTGAGTCAGAGGTAAACAAAAACATGCAGACAGAGTCTAGACATTTAGTAACGGACTAAAAGTCATGATGGGAAAAACCTATGATTGAAGCATATTTTAAATAATTGTAGGTTCCAGTGTAGCACAAAGTGCACAGTTTGTGGGATTTTCTGAGCAAGCTATAAGGCACCCACAAGTACGCACAGCAGCTAATGACAGCATGATGGAAAAGGACAAGTCGGAGGCACTTTAGTAGAATAAATCAGACCGCCAGCAAAGTTAAAGCTTATGAATTCAAATGAATATACCTAACATTCTGTCACTGGAACCAGCGAATCTATATGAAACCCAACACAAACAGACATATGTGAATTAGATATTGAATAATTAAAGATTCATTAATCCACACTTTCCAGTGTTCCAGTGGCTCATTTCAGAGTCAGTGGTCTGTGTTGATCTAATTATAGAGAATGTTAGACCGAAATATAAACATTTTAAAAGAGCTTAGTTTGAAGCTCATGTGCATATGTGGACAAATATCGGTGACAGAAAGGCACATTACAGAGGCTGCAGGTCTCATGCCGAAACCAACTATCAAACCAAAACCATCAGTTATTTTTGCTCTCCTTCCTCTCATAGCATTTTTTTCCAAGCACTTGACTGTGACCAGTCTTACATTGTGGGAACAGTACTGTGTGTTAGCGTGTGTCTAATCGTGTTTATCACGCACAGAACCATTCATATTAGCTGACATGTATTACATCTGCTTTCTGCGTAGATGAGGCTCCACAAGATAAACAGAGATCTTGAGGATGGATAGAGCTGCTGAGAAGGCAGAGAGCTGCTCCAGGACAGAGCTCGCCGGAGACGGTGTGGTGCGAGGGTGAGAGAAGCAGATAGTCCCACAAACGCACTCCCTCGAACAGACGCACACACACCCGCACATGTGAGCGCAGGCACACGCACACATATACGGAGTATGCTAGCTGCTCTAAATGTGGCTTGTAGAAGGAAATTCTGAAATCTGAGTCTTGGCACCAGACAGGCTGGAAGCAGCCGGGCTGCTGGATGCAGAGAGGGAGAGGCTGACAGAGAAAGGGGCCTGATGGTGGGAGGGGGGGCAGTTTCGCTAGAACTGCCTTGGCTCTTATCAGCTTATAGGCAACATGAGGCCATACCGACACTGTGACCCACAGCTTCTCATGCATGTAACAGATGAAGACCTCACGTCTTTAAAACACACAACACGTATGCAGTTCCCATCACTGCAACGCCAACAACAACACTTTCAATATAAGATTTTACTGGGATGATGAGATGAGAGAGAGGGTTGCAGTGCAAACGGCAGTGTCATTCCACGGGTACATCAGATTAAGTTAAAAATCAGAATAAATAAAAGACTAGTTGCTATCAGCCGATTCACACAAGCTAAACAACATATTTTCTCCTGGTGACTCATCCTTTTTGGTAATCCGCTGTGGTCTTAACTTCCTCTTCTGATAAGCTGGCAGTGCTGATATGATATTCATCTGTTGTTGTTGTTAGTTTAGAGTGACTGTTCCCTGTTTTGTGATCTGTGATGTGTTTGTCAGATGTGAGAAAAACAACAAACAAATATCCTGGCCGACTGTGACGAGCTTAAGTCTGTGCTGATGACCAATACCACAGATGACTCATACAGAGGTTGTTAGTTGGTGTGCTTGTGAAGACACACACAAAGCATAGCTAAATAGGAGAATTGCACACTTGTGCGTATTAGGCGCACCAGTGTGGATCCTAAGTACATGTAATACCATACTGGACGCTCCCATGAACAGACTAATGGTTCTATTTGCTCTTTTCCCCCTTTCTTTCATCTTGTTCCCCTTTTCTCACTTTCTCTTGCGCTCCCTTGGGAGAATGGCAGAGAAAAAGTGAGCAGTATGTTTAACCTTTGAATCCGGCCTGCTGTGCTGAGCAAGGCCTGCCACCTGTTGGCTCTGTGTGTGTGCATGTGTTTTGTGTGCATGCAGAGGTAAATCTCTCTAATTTTGATGAGCAGAGACAACAGTGGAGTCACCATGGGGATGAGATGGCGAGCAATGGCTGACGTTCTCAGGAAGGGGGTGGGGGGGGGGGGGCTTCTAAGGTGGGATCGCCCTCACACAAACATACTCACAACCCCTCCTCTGTCGGAGGTTTGGTGACACTATGTCTCCCACGGTGATCGTGGGTCCAGCCTGGGTGGCTCCAGGCCCTGTGTGTCTCTCTCAGTATGTGAATGTGTGTGTGTCACGCCAATGGGGTCCCTGTATGGGCCACCATATGCTACCCACTCAGCCAGGGAGAGGAGAAGGGTGGGGGCGACCCCTGGCAACTGAAGCCACCAGTTGGCTCATTCTCTCAGTCACACGCCGGCCGGGCGCCATGTTTAAAGTCCCACAGCTATTTATCTGTGATAGGGAGAGAGGGCGGTGGTTGGGCTGGTGAGTGGGGAGACTGTTCTTCTTTCTGTGAGAGATGTTTTGTACAAATGATAACAAACAGATTCGCAAACATGCATGCTCCAAAGTGGATGAATGATTAAATGATAGGGAGAGTGGAAAGGGTGACTCCAAGAACTCATTAGCGACTGAACACCATGTGAACACTATTCTTTGTG